GGGTCATAAGAAGGCACGTAAACGGTCATGACGCAAACGATGACGCAATAATTCACCTTTGAACCTAATTCACCTTTGAACCTGCATCTGTAACAATGAGTGGAAGAAAAGAAAAGTCAACATTGAGTGCCGAGTGAACAGCTACATATTTTTTTACCGATCTGCTACTGGCCCGGCCCGTCTGTCAAATTTAAAAATCATAGTGGCCCCCGAGCCAAAAAGTTTGCCCACCCCTGCTTTAGAGGGCAGCGAAGAGCTATTCTAAAATCATCTGTATCTTTTACTAGATACATATTTCCTCCAGACTTTTCTTTTATTTATGTGACAAGAATATAACTTGAGTGGTGACTGCAGGCACAAAACTGAGACTTCCTATCAAGTCATACCAGAGAATGACAAAAGGGGGGGAGTGGTGACATAACAGCATGCTGAGTTTATTTTTCTCTCTCTCTCTATCTTCACAGCGGAGCTCTATCTGCCCTCAGGGGGTTCTCCTTTAGCATGTGTATTTTGTATTCCTGTAGAGATAAGTGATGCAACTTTAATAGTTTGTTTACTGTATGAAATCAATATAGAAAACATAGACGCAGCCTTTAGGCGTGACTTTTAAAACATGCTGGGATCTTTTTTTCCCAAGAGAAAGGAATTTTCTAAAGCTATCTTCAGCTATTAATTTTCTCCTGACTTTGTGTAGCCGGTTGCGTCATGCTGCTGTCTTCATGTTTGATTGATGGCTTTGCATGTGTATGTATGTAAGGCCTAAACGTTGTGCCTTGACCTCATCAAGCAATGAGACATTTCCTCAAGCGGTTTTGGGACACTGAATGCGTCTTCATATGTAATTAAGATGGTATAGACGGCTATTTTTAGTGAGCAGCGGTCACTGTTTTGCCACGACATCCTCCAGTCAGAATATGTGCAGAACATGTAAACAGGACTATAGTTACAACTGTGGTGTGAGGGTGACTTTTCATTCAACTCAATCTTTTGGAAGGTTATTTTGATTGCATTTTTAGGGTTATATTTACAGGTTATATGATAATACATTTAGTTTTTCATTACTGCACATATTTAGATGCTACTGCTATATTGTACTATATATATATATTTCTATGTTATTATAGTTTTCTTCAAATAGTTTCCTATCTGTGTTTTAATTTTGGTTTTATTTTTATGTATGCACCACAACACAAAGTCAAATTCACCTACCTGGTAATAAACCTGTTTGTAATTCTGATTCTGATTTGAGAAGTTCAAATCCTTTGTATGCCCCTCCGACTTAAGGGGATTTCAGGACTAATTTTTAGTAACTGTAAATATATGTAAAAGTAAAAATGTTTCTGTTTTTCTTTCTAGGAGTGTGGCACAACTTTGTCCTCTGTTTGGCAGCATTAGCCTTCCTCTTCCTGTTGCCCATTTTCCTGTTTCCCGTGTATTCCACCGGTGGGGGGGCGCTGGTCAGTGAGGTCGTCCAGGTCAGTGCAGCCGGTTTTTATTGCGTTATTAAACGTTTTATTATTTTTTTTGGCCTCTTGTTGACAACAAATGTAACCTAGTGAGTCTCCTTTGCATTTACTCCTTAAGTAACATTATATATCAGATTGGTCTTTGTGCAACCATCTATAATAATCACTACTGTTTGTCAGCACTAAGTCACTGCTTCTCTCTAGCATGTTTTCCAATGTTCCAGTAATTAATAGCTGTTATTTATGTGGGTGGAATTGGCGGGGCGTTAGGGTTAATTACTTTTTAAATCATTTGCCCTTGCAGATCCATTCAGTCAGTAATTCACACAGCCATACTAGCAGGAGATATTTGGTTGGTATTGCTCAAGCATTCATTGGCATTAGTTGGCAAAGGAAAGTGTATTGGTCAATCCCTTCTCCACATTGTTTTTCCGAGTATTGCAGGACATAAAAACGTCCATCTACTTCTTTTTTTACCCTTCTCCATTTGAACCAAATGTGATATCTGGCTGTGTCTTTCAACCAGGGCGCTGCAGCGGATGGTCCCCGAGGTCTGTCAGTTGGGGACATAGTGGTCGGGCTGGAGGACTGCCCAGTCAAGGGGGTGGAGGACTGGAGCAGCTGCCTGTCTCACCTCTCTCACTCCCAACAGACTGGATACTGTGTCCCGAGCAGCAGCCTGCAGCCCAGCTGGGCCCACGGAAGAGGTGAGTGTGCTGTTTCTGCACCCAAATAACCCTTTTCCACAAAAAAGGTTCCAGGGCCGGATCTGGGCTAGAGCCTGATTAAGCGTTTTTTGGTGCCGGGACCAAGAACCAATACTTCACGCTTACGTCGGAGGGGGGCGAGATTAACCTGAGCAATAACAGTTCATGGCGAGTACGGCAAATACAAGTTGTACCAAGCAATAGCGCTGAGCACAACAACCCAATTGTTGTTGTTGTGAGTGGCGTTGGGGAGAAAATCCGCAACGTAAACGGTGATGTCATGACGCAGCTCCAGTCGGGCTCTGGGCAGTGGAAACACAACTGAGGCTAAAAAGAAGAACCGGTTCGGAACTAGAAAAGCACAAGCACAGAGCTAAAACTGAAACTGGTTTTGTGGAAAAGGGGCAAAAGGTTTTACCAAAGTGCTTAACTCAATGAAGAGGAGGCGCAGTGCTTCTGGAATTAACATCTATTGGAGTTAAAAGAACTTCCTGTGTTGTGCCAAATTGGGCAATTTAGCTGCCATGACATCCCAAGGTCGTTTCATCTTTATATGGTACTGACTAAATATGAAGTTTATCAAATTAAATATGTAGAGAGGAGTTTGTACAGCATCCGAAAAGGTAAGAAATCCCCCAAAATTGCACGTGAAATTCTAAATCGACAACTTCCTAATGAGTTATTGTTACACCTCTACGAGGTTTTTCAGTATGTCTCTACTTTTCAATTGACTGCAAGCTTACCAAGTTTGATGTTGAAAGTTGGGGTTTTTTCGTTTAAAAATATGTTAATCAGCATTCCTTCTTCAACTTTTCACGCCCAAGGACCACATCCCTAACATACGTATTAGCTTCTTAAGCCCCTCAAAACTGTGATTCATTTAGTGATTTAACAATATTTTTTATTATTTCAATACTATCCTATGGACACTGTCATGCTCAGATAATTTTGTCTCCTGCCTAAACATGTATCATTTTTGTAGTCAGAATAAATCACAGTGTACTGAATAATAATGTAACGAGGTCAAACCGGGTCAAACCCACAGAGCAGCAGCGGGAGCTGTGATTGGCCAGCTGTTAGCTGAAGTCATGTGTGAGGTCAGAGATCAACAGCTGGCCAATCAGAGCTCCTGTTGTTTCTTTGTGGCCTTAATCATTTCAAGTGGCACACATTAGAGGTCATATTTTAGCGAGAAATGGCAAAAATGTCTTTTGATAGTGCCATAATTGAACCTAAAACTTTATTGATAAATTGATTAGTCAATCCATGGATTATTAATCTACAACTGTTTTGATCATGGATTACCATTTCAGTAATTTCCCAGCCAGAATGCCAAATATAAACATTGTATAAATCAAACAATTCATCAAAAATAATAATTGCAGTTTAATCGTAAAAGTAAATCACTCTCAATTCCATTCTTCCATTCCTTTTAATCAAGGGCTTTAATAAATGCAGCATTTCACACTGTCCCTTCAACGTTCCGTCATAAAAACCTTTACTACAGCAAGTGCTAAATCTAAATCCTTTCTGGGGCTATATTTAACTTGTAAATCTACTTCCCTGTTTTTTGATAATGTTTATGTTACTGCTGTCTTACCAATGGATTTAGCTGCTCACTATTTTCATTTGCACATTAGTTTGTGTGAGTACGCAGTCAGTCCCTAATGATGTGTGAGGAGTCAACAGGATAATCACTGTTGTCATGTAGTGTGTGATACTCTGTCCAGGTCTAATTGTCTCGTGCTAGTAGATTCATCAACTAAGAATCAGAAAAACAGTGTGACATCCATCTTCTGTTAAAAGTATAATCAAGCAGTCTCTGTTCTTCATTTATTTTTTCCCCCCCTTTTTTGTTCTAGCCTTTAAGCGTTTGGATGGAACGTTTGACTGCTGCAGCAACAACAGCCTGACAGATCTCTGCTTCTCCTACATGAAACCACAGAGCAAGAACAGCAAAGAGAGAGAGGTGACATACACACATGATTCACTTACTTCTATTTCCATTCCACTTTGTAGCCATGTTAGTTGAATGTACAAAAAAACAAAACAATATCAGTATACACAAAAACGATTTTTACCATTATATTATTAAACAATACAAATATAATTTTTATACTACAGTGTCATTTTTAATAGATTCCTTTTAATTTACTTGCATTGTGAATCATAGTGCACATATTGGCTGGATCATTTGACACATTTTGTTTGCCCATGACCTAATTTTACAGGACAACCCCTCATAAATACGCTTCAGAAGTGCAACATTATAAAGGTTTATCATGAATAAAGATATGTAAAAAAGAAAAGAAGATGGTACATACATTGTCTAGAGACAAAGGGATGAAGTGTATGTACCAGCAATGAAAAACAAGAAAGCCAACAACAGCTGTTAATCCTTACTGACTTCTCCTATAATTACATTCACTTATATACTTAACTTGCACATATTTATATTTGGTATTCTTCTGTAATCCTGTGACTGCAGTACGCCTGCATGCCGGTGCGAAAGATGGTGACGGGGACGCAAGTGTGTCGTACCGCCGAAGACTGCACCGCACACACCGAAGTCGCCAGCATCTGCGTGACCCCCTCTCTGGAGAACCAGACTCGCTTCATCCGTGTCACACACCCACCCAACACACACATGCTGTTTGTGGGGTATCCACCACACCTGCAGTATGCTGGTAAGTTACAGTGTGTTTATTTTAAAGGTCTCCTATCCTGCAAAATGCACTTTTTGATGTCTTCAATACATAAATATCAGTCCCCGGTGTGTCAGAGAACTCAGAAAGTGTCCGAAAACGAAACCCTCTCTCTTATACTCCGTACCCAAATCTCTAAAAACGGGAGAACAACGGAGCAGATCCAGTTTTGCTGCCGATATGACGTAATATCCGAGATGTGGGCTGGCTTTACACCCACGGCCCTATCAGAAACGTCACTATCAGAAACAATGCGCAACGTATTTTGGAAGTAATGTGGTCTGTGTTGACATTAGCAAGCATCGCTAACACTCAGAGCTAACGCTGTACTGGAGAGAGTATGTCTAAAAAAGCAGGATATAAAAAGGTACTCGCCTTGTGGTAAACCCGTGAGAGAAAAAGCATTTGAGCTCCATACTGTTTCAGAAATAATCCTTAATGTGGTTTGGAACATGATATGGCGTTTAATCACTGCAGCATTTCGCTGTATGTGGGAAGAATTCTCCAAAAGCTCCCTTTCCTTTTTTCTTTTTTTTCTAATTCTTGTTTTTTTTTTAACCTACTGACCCAGAATCAGCACTTCTCTAACAGTTTCAGACAGATGTGATGATTGGATCAAACCTGTGATCTTTCTGTGATTTATAAAGTCAACCACACCGTGTGAATGTAACACCTCCTTGTGCTTTGTCTTTTCTAGTGAGTCTGACCAACTTTGTCCCTCGGTTTGGTTTCCTCCACCTGGATCTGCCTGTCTTCTTGGAGACCTTCTGCAAGTATCCTTTTCTGATTTAAGGAAAGATGGGCTGAAGTGAGATTATGGCTATATAAGGTGTTGGTTTGCTTAATAGAAAGGTCTGTCTTTTCTGTCTAAAGCATGAGGCATTTTATTCATCAATTTGTATAGAGCATTGCGCTTTATTGTAAACAAAAGTTCACAGCTTTTGACATCTAATGATTTTTATATAGACCTAATGACTGCTACACATGACCGTAAACCTTATTGCAAAGCTCTGGACAGTTCTTATAACATTGTGTTTGTGTCAGTTACTACTGTTTTTATAATGCACTTTTTCCATTGTATCTTGATGGAATGCTCATTCAAAAACACCACATTAAGATCTTAAGTGATCTAACATAAGCTACTGGGCACACAAAACCAAATAAGGTTATAGCAGCAAAACCCCTAAGTATAAGGAGGTGACCTTTAGGTACGTTTAATTTCCTATACATTCTGGTTGTTAATTATAAAAGGATTTATTAGTGATTTGTTCTTTAAGTGTCACAGTCTTGCTTTAAAGCCACTTTAAATGGCTCACATCTGCTGCAGTTTTTCTGTAAACAAGCTCATTGCCTATGGACATATGGGAAGCTTGGAAGTTCAAATTTTAATATTCTGTCTTTATTATTTTAATTATTTTACAGTTGTTACATTCTAGAAATACAGTCTTAACATTCTAAAATTGTAAAATGTACAATTTGTACTAAATATTTTCAATGATATCATGCTATAACCTAAACTTAAAGTGGACCTATCATGCTATATTTGAATAATATATTGTAGGGCCACACCTATATAAAACGTGTCTGTGAAGTTTTTTTTTCAAAATACCAAACAGATCATGCATATTTTTGCTCTATTCCAGCCCTCTCTTCACAAGGGCTGATTCTGTCGCCCCCCTGCAAAGGAGGGGGGCGAGGCACAAGCGTCATGTTACCATGCTGTTACCATGCCACGCAACCTCTCATTCCCCTGATTGGTGGAGAGTTGCCCATATAGGCGGAGCTCCCTGTTTCTGACGTCAGAACAATTTCAAATCTGGATCAGTCTGTAGCAGATCGGTTGCAGCCCCGTTTTTAGAGATTTGGGTATGGAGCAAAAGAGAAAGGGTTGTGTTTTCTGACATTTGATGAGTTTCCTGACACACCTGACACACATATTCATGTATAAAAGACGTACAAAAGTGTAATTTGCATGATAGGTCCCCTTTAACATTATTGAATTGTATAACATTGTATATTTTTAACTAAATATTTGAAATATTAACATATTAGAAACTTTTACATTCTAAAATTGTAACATACTAGAACTGTATTATTTTTATATTAATGTTAACATTCTCGAACTGTAACTTTCTAGAATCCTACATTTATATTTTAAACGGTAACATTCTTTAACTTAAAATTAACATTCTAGAATTGTATAATTCTAGACCTGTATTATGTCATAATCGCTACATTCTAGAATTAGAATCTTACATTGCAATAATTAAAATATTCTGAAGTATTAACATTCCAGAATTGTCAAATTGTAGAATATTAACAAATATTTTAATAGTTACATTCCTGACCCTAAATTCAACATTCTAGAATTGTAGAATTGTAATATTTTAGAATTTTAGCAAATATTGTAATGGTAATATTCTTGTACTTTAGCTTAACATTCTAGAACTGTTACATTGTAGTTCTTTAACCAAATCTTTTCAATGTTAATATTGTAGAACTTAGTATTAACATTCTAGAATTGTATTTTAGAACTTTAACACTGTCGTAGTATAATCTCAATATTCTAAAATTGGAACATTCTACAATTGTTATATGGTAGATTCTTAAGTTTATATGTTAAATGATAGCGTTTCATAACTTAAACATTACATTCCAATAATTGTAACACTTAATAATTATATACGGTAATGTAACATTGTAGATACTTAAACTAAATAGTCTTAATTTTAAGTATTGTATTATTTCATCATTTTAATATTCTATTTGTATAATCTTAACATTCTATAATTTTAAAATTGTATTGTTTTACAAGTATTTTTAAATGGTAACATTCTAGAACTTAAACATTACTTTCTAGAATTATACCATTCTAGAATATTATTATATTATAATTATTATATAATTGTATAAAATATAATAAATGGTAACAATGACTTGAGATGCTGCTTGTGTTTTTCTTCCTTTTTAAGATATTTCTAGAAACACCCTGTGACTCAGCAAAGTGTATGCATGAAAGAAAGCATTGACTTTAACATCAGTGGTAAACAATCTCACAAAAGGTACATTTTGTGTGTTTTTAAGTCCTTCAATGATATTATGATCTCAACAAAACCACATATGCATACTTCATCCTCTAATGAAAATGATGTGAAATTATTGACCTAATAGACCTTGAGGAAATATTAGTTTTTTGTGCCTGTGATGTGTGTTTCCAAGGTTACAAACGTAATACTGTAATATTGTCCTTAACCCTCTTGCCTCTCAGATACGTAGTGTCCCTCTCTGGAGCTTTAGCAGTCGTAAACTCCGTTCCGTGCTTTGCTCTCGACGGTCAGTGGATGCTGAATGCACTGCTGGAGGCCACGCTGGTTACTGTGGTAACGGACCGTCAAAGGCGTGAGCTGATTGGTTTCTTCCTTCTGCTGGCAGGCAGCGCCCTGCTAGCAGCCAACGTGGCACTGGGCCTGTGGATGGTCACTGCACGGTAGCCACAGTAGTGAGCCACACTGGAAGGCAAAAAACTAAATGAATGAATCCCCATGTGGACTGAGTTGTTCTCTCATGATGTTTTTGACACGTGTGGACCATTAAGCTGTGAACAGACTGCATTACCCATCAGTGCTGCCCAATTTCAGGACACTGTTGAGCAGAACATCTGCTTTACTGGACCAACAGGGAAAACAATAACCAACTTTTATTCACCTTTTTGCCGCCATATAATCATAAAGCACATATATACAAATAAAGAATGCACTGTCCGATGTGACCGTTTACAAACACTGCACAATCTGTCCAAATGTTAATGTCTGTGTTGTCTTTGAAGTATGAGGAGAAAACTGTCCTGGTTATGAAAAGGTTTGATTCCAAAATGCCATACGTTCCTCTTAACTCACTGTTCGACCTCAACGTGCTGCAGAGATGTGTCCATGAAGAGAGAAGCAAAAACAAGGGTATAGTTTAAAAAAGCCTTACACTTATTGGCAAATGCATGGCGGTTTGAATGTCTATTACACATCATTAGTGGAAATAATGTACTACCTATTATTCATGTGACAGTATTTCATTTCATTTAGCTCCTCACAGGTGTGTAATTGCAACAATGTTTTGTGATTTCCAACATGTTTCAAATCCCCCAAAAAATGTGCTCTGTCCCTCTGGCATTGACGAAAATGAATTTGAATATGATTTGTCACAATTGTGGAATAAAAGGCTCCTTTTATTTAAGTCATTTTAGACTAGTGTTGTAATTCATTCCATTTATCCTTTTACTTCTCGAGATTGCAGGATTTTGGAAAACGCTTTGTAGTATTATTTAGAAACTTGACACCCTGAGGGTGCAACAATTGAAGGCACTATATGAAAATATAATTGGGTATAGCTAATTTTATTTAGAAATTTGTCTCATCTTGGAAACAAATATTTAGAAGTCATAAAAAATAATTAAGTAAATTATCTTTAACTGATTACTTGTTGTTAAAAGCAGTCTTCAGTGTTTATAAATGTATTTGTTAAAAACTTGAACTCCTGTACATACATGTAAACTGGTACACGGTATGAAAGAATAACGACAATGGAAGACTATATTCTTACTTAATAAAAGTAACACATTTCCATATTATAGTTTGGTCTGAACTGTGTGTTAAATACACCAAAATACATTTTCAAAAGTTTAATAAGGTTTTCAAGTTAAAAACAATACTGTGCAGTTTCATCTTTATGTAAATTATTTTGTATATTTATTTTTTATTTATATTACTATTGTCCAACTGCATTTGGAACATGCAGGGAGCCTGATTTTCCTTTCAGAAAACTGCACCTTGGGATATTGGCTCATTATCTTCATTACAAAGTACACATGCTACACTTTTAGTTACAGCTCCAGGCCGCAGTTCTTCTGTCGCATATTCAGGGAGATTATTACCTATTATCTCCTGAGTTTGTGAGCGTTAGATGAGACATTATAATTTTGAAGGGTGTTTCCTACAGACATAAACACTGAACGGCCTTCAGCTTAGCCACGGAGGTGTTTTTACCAACGATCAGCAGACACTTCTGTCAGCAGGTTCAAGATCGTGGCCACTTTAGAGACTTTATCTTTGAATAATTACGGACGCTGGTGGGAGGATGTTGCATGCAGGAGTTGGCGCCTTTCGTGTGTGTATGTTTGTGTTCAGATAAGAATCTATGTGAAATGATTGCTCATGTGTGTTGTAGTTGCTTATCTTGCACTAATGACAGCCTGGAGTGATGTTTGGAGAAAACAGACATGGGAGGATGGCGATCGGGAGGAGAGGGCAGAACGGAAGAATGTTCTGACTGTGCTTCATGTTAAGGGATGGGTCCTTGAATATACTCTGTGAACTCTTCAGTGTTAACAGGACCAAGAGTCTACACAGCCATGCTAGCTGTTCTGTGCGGCTGTATATTTAGGAATGGTCACATAAGCGTGCCAACATGTTCTCAAGTAAGGACATTTGTGTTTGGTAGATTATTTTGTTTGTTGTAACAATGCTTCTTGGCAATACATCTTATACCGTTGGAAAGCCTGTTTTCTTACCTTTCCAATAGTATAATCACATTGGTGAGGAACAAGCATGTGTGGGATGAGCAGCAGAGCTGAGTATGTGGGGTGCGCCCATGAAAAGATTGTAAAATCTCTGCCAATGCCAATCAGCTTTTTGCTGTTGACTCTTGTTTGGTGGATTGGATGATTGAAGTCTGATGAAACAAGACCTCTAACAAACACAAATGTCCTTACTTTTTGTGTTTATATGTACAAAATGTCAAGATATTACAGTCTTTACCAAAGTGTGGGACCGACTGACTGATGGAGACAATCAAAACTAGAGCGAAGGGTCCCAATTAAGATGTTAAACAATAAGAATAAAAACAGGACACAAGTGATTAGGAGTCACAATGGTGAACAATAGCATCGTGGTGGAAGTGTCTGCTTGATGAATGGGTGTTTAAAGTAGCGCAGGAAGTCATGTCTATATAAGGACTTTGTGGCCGAGGGCCCCAAACCCTAATGAGCACGTGCAAAAAAGTTTCTCACCACAGCGGGGAGGTTACAGGACCAATCAGGAGCTTTGGTGTCACTGTCATCACCGCCACTGTCTATCTATTCAAATAAACTACTGATTCTTTTCGAGAAAAAAAACTGATGGGTTTTTACATGCGGCCATGTCATTGGATTAATTGATTGTAATCGCTAATCAGTGTCCTGTATGTGTGTGTGAGTCAAATATTGCTCTGGTCGACTGTCTTATCTGATCAATGTTGTACATGTAGGCTTTTAACAAGGTCTACAGCCTCTAATGCAACACAGTAACACACACAGATAGTGTTCTGGTCTAAGTTAACTATTTTATTCATTGATATCTGGTCATCACTAAGGAGTCTGGTCTCTGTTCTGGATGACGGTGGGGATGGGAGGAGTGTCAGAGGAGAGGAGGAGTGATGAAGGGAGGGACAGTTTGAAAAGCTGGGGTTAAGTTAGAGTAGTTACAGATAGACAGATAGCAGCAGAGAGAAAGACTCGGAAAACTAATGAAGTCTGCTGGTACATTTGGAAAGACACCAGACTACATAGAGAAAGTGTGTCATTTTAGCAAGATGTTAATATAACTTTGGATTTAATTGTTCTCCATTCACTTTTTTGGCCAGATATTTTTGCTTTCTGGTCCATTTCTCTTTTGTAGTGTTTCCCCTATTTTTCAGAGACTGTGAGTGTGTGTTTGAATGTGTGTGTGTGATATCAAAAAGTAAGTTATGGAAGTGGAGCGTTTGAGTGGTGGGGGGGTTAAACCCGAGAGGGGCAACAGTCGTCTCTACAGGATAGCCCTGGCCATGTGTGTGTGTCTTTGTGCTGCTCTGCTGCTTGCACTCATACTGGGTAAGTCCAACACACACACACACACAAACATACACACAGATCCACACACATTTTATTTCAACCAGCAATATAGTTGTGAGGAATTAAACAGGAATGCATGGCATACTGTTCTCAGTATTATAGTAAATGCAGACTGTAAATAACGCAAGTCGGTGGGAGCAAAGGTTTTGTGGAGAGCTTGCGGGTTACTTATGTCAAACTATTTTTGGTTCATATAAGGTTTCATACACGCCCACATACAGAACCTTGCACATAACGCACTGTGGGACTGTTGAACTCTGGGAAAATAGGAAAGAATGTGTATGTTGACACTTTGTGGGTATTATCTCCTACAGAATGTGAAACTAATTGTAAGGGAACTGTTTGGCACAGTTATGGCTCGGGTGTGTGTCTGTTTGTGTGTATGTATTGGGGGCAGTGCCCATAAAATATGTTTTGGTCAGAGAAATTGCTGTTTTTGGTCATCTTACGGCACCTGAATGTAACAATGCAGCCAAATCTAAAAAAGCTTCTGTTAATTGCTGGGAGTTGCCGTAGCATAGTCCTGAAGACACAGTTCACATTATACAGCTTGAAGATGCGAACATTAAACCAACTTAAAAAAGGTGGAAATTAAATGCATGAATAACTTAATAAAACTTTAGCTTTTTGAACTGTCCAAAAAATATGAAGATACCATCTATATCAGGGGTGTCAAACTCAAGGCCCGGGGGCCAAATCCAGCCAGCGACTTCATTTTATGTGGCCCGCAAGAGCTTGCAAGGAATATAATATGTTTATTATACGGTTTGATGGCACTTTACAGAAGCATTGTCCCAAAATGCATCTCATTTAGTGAAATGCGCACTGAAGAGATTTGCAATTATTTGCAATTAATTGCCCTAGAATTCTGCTTTCAGACGTAGTTAATTATGAAGTTATTACCCTATTCGATAATAACCCAATGCATAGGAAATAATGTATTATAATACATGATTTTATATTTAAGCAATAGCTCACGACAGGCCGTGGTATATGCTCATTATATCACCACGCCCCTTAGCTGGCAAGCAGTTTGCTTTTCAGCCCAACGGTATACTGTTTTTCTCAGACGCGGAGGGATACTGACTTCTTGTGAAAAGTAACTTACAATTCTACCTGTGGTATACGCTCAGTATATCACGGCTAAGAACCAATCAGATTGCTTGATTTGACTTGTCCGTTTTATAAATGTATATTTATATATATAGTCTTAAAGTTACAACCGGCCCTTTGAGTGCAACCTTAATGATAATGTGGCCCGTGATGAGATTGAGTTTGACACCCCTGATCTAAATTGTTATCCAGCACCTTTAAACTCATTTTGACTTTGTAACACTTATGTTGAATCTGTATGAAAACAGAATTGTGAAATGCTACGTCAATTTACAAAAAAAGTAAACTAGGCGTTTCCTATATGTATTCCTTAAAAAATGGAGTCCTTGTGTATCACACAGAAGGAGATTGTTCATGTCAAACGCAATCTCACTTAATAATTGTAAATATTTGTGATAGGGTCTGTTGCTCTGAGCATCTAATAATAAAACAAAGGTGGGTCCATTTTTGTTATTTAATAATAATAATAATAAATGGGATTTATATAGCGCTTTTCTAGACCCAAAGACGCTTTACATTATGAGTCAGGTCGACAAACAAAACAAGAACAAAAACACAAACAAAAACAAAAACAAAACAAAAACAGAAAAGCAGTCAGGAGGATGTTGGTTCAGAGGGGGGAGGGGCGGGTTTAAGGATAAGCAGAGTTGAAGAGGTGGGTTTTGAGACGGGACTGGAACAGGGTGAGGGAATCAGACTCACGGAGGTCTTGGGGGAGGGAGTTCCAGAGCTTCGGGGCTGCCACAGAGAAGGCTCTGTCCCCGAAGCTCCGGAGTTTGGCCTTGGGGATTGAGAGCAAACCGGCTGAGGTGGATCTGAGGGACTGGGGTGGTTGGTAGAGGATGAGGAGGTCAGTGAGGTAGGGGGGGGCCAGATGGTGGAGGCCTTTATAGGTGAGGACCAGGAGTTTGTAGTGAATGCGGTGTGAGACGGGAAGCCAGTGGAGTTCTTTGAGGACCGGGGTGATGTGATGCCATGATTTGGTGTGGGTGAGGAGTCTGGCGGCTGCGTTCTGGACACGCTGGAATCTGTTGAGGGATGCTGTGCTGATGCCGAAGAGGAGTGAGTTGCAATAGTCAAGGCGGGAGGAGATGAAGGCGTGAATGAGTCGCTCAGCTGCGGGGCGGGTGAGAGAGGGACGGAGTTTGGCGATATTGCGGAGGTGGAAAAATGAGGTTTTTACAACTTGGCGGATGTGGGGGTCGAGGGAGAGGGTGGGGTCGAATATCACGCCAAGGTTGAATTTACGAAGTCGAGAAGTCTGGTGTATCACTTCTACATACATACTCACCGTAGTAAGTTTTTTAACTGGAAAAACTTTGGGGAAGGAGTCAGACCAAAAGCAGGAGTGGGTGTCGTGTCTTTGCACGTGAGTAGTTCAGGAGTTAAGGGAGGAGAGGAGCGACTGTGCCCAAGGGAGTGTAGGAGTAGGAGGAACGGACTCACGTCGGAAGCATGGCACTCGGTGTGGTGAGGACTGAATGGCTGAGGCCCTATAGCATAGCTTGCCATGACGTGGAGTCCACCGGAGGTCAGATGTAGAGACTGTCTAGGTTGAAGTAGAGGGAGTGTTAGTGAGGAGATGGTTCGAAGTCATGGGTTCCACAAGGTTCCAATGTTCCATGAGCCGGGGAGGGAGAAGGTAGTAGATGTAAGGAGGGGGAACCAGTCAAGAAGGCGGTAGTTGTTTGGACCTGAAGTGACGATCGCTGCTGTGGTCGTCTAGATGGAGTCGTGGTTTTTAGGGGGGCGTGGGGCGGAGAGTGTGTAGTAGCTTAGGACAAGACTGACGTATATTTTAGGACTACGTGTGTTAGAAGAAGGAGTAGTTTGAGTTGTCGTTATTTGACTTGAGGAGTAGCCCGAGTTTAGGTGGGAGTCGTTTTGGGGGTTGGACTGTGAGGGGTAGCTACGTGGGGACAAAGGGGGAGGT